GAATGCAAATTTCTTCCTACACATACACTGATAGGTGAACATATGTAATTATTGCATTATACAGATCTTAGTAAGAACCAGGTAATCAGCTGATTCTTAAACGGTACCGACGTCCTGTCGTCCCAGATGTATCCACTAGCTTCCTTCCACATACACACACACACACTCATTCATACAAGATAGATTGGGGGAACAGAGACCCACATGGAGGCCCAGACACATGGAGAGCTAAGCTACAGGATGTGGCAACAAGAAACTTTCTAAGTCAACACGTCTAGGGACCGACAAGAATGAGAGGAGGGGATGAACCAGCCTTGCTTGATCTGATATTTACCCTAAATGAGTCGGATATAAGGGAAGTTAAGTTGGAAGCCCCCTTGGGAATGAGTGATCATAGTGTATTGAGCTTTGAGTACCTGGTTGAGCTAGGAATTATCACCCCCAAAAAAGAACTGGGAAACAAAGGGCTGGCGTACCGAAAGGAAACTATGAGATGAATAAATTCCTATGGGATATACATTGGGACACAGAACTCGGAACCAAGTCCATACAAGACATGATGGACTATGTCACCCAAAAATGTCAGGAGGCTGTAAGCAGGTTTGTCCCAGCCCGACAGGAAAAAACAGAGAAGCAAAGAAAGAATCCGTGGTTTAATAGGGAATGTATGAAAGCAAAGGAGCTGAACAAAAGGGCATGGAGGAACTTCTGTAATAACAGAACACCAGAAAGTAGAGAGAGATACCAGAGAACCAGGAACGAGTATGTTAGTGTGAGAAGAGCAGCTGAGAAAAGGTATGAAAATGATATAGCTAATAAAGACAAGACCGAACCAAAGCTACTACACAGTCACATCAGGAGGAAAACAACAGTGAAGGAACAGGTGATGAAACTTAGGGTGGGCGAGGACAGGTACACAGAGAATGACAAAGAGGTGTGTGAAGAACTCAACAAAAGGTTCCAGGAGGTCTTTACAATAAAACAGGGAGAAGTCACAGCGCTAGGAGAGGTGGCAGCAAACCAGGTAACCTTGGAAAGATTCGAAATTACAAGAGATGAGGTCAAGAAGCACCTATTGGAGCTGGATGTGAGAAAAGCTGTTGGGCCGGACGGAATCTCACCATGGGTATTGAAAGAGTGTGCAGGAGCACTTTGCTTGCCACTCTCCATAGTGTATAGTAGGTCACTGGAAACGGGAGACCTACCAGAAATATGGAAGACTGCTAATGTAGTACCAATATACAAAAAGGGTGACAGACAAGAGGCACTGAACTACAGGCCAGTGTCCTTAACTTGTATACCATGCAAGGTGATGGAGAAGATTGTGAGAAAAAACCTAGTAACACATCTGGAGAGCAGAGACTTCGTGACAACCCCTCAACATGGGTTCAGGGAGGGTAAATCTTGCCTTACAGGCTTGAAAGAATTCTATGATCAGGTGACACAGATTAAGCAAGAAAGAGAAGGATGAGCGGACTGCATTTTTTTATACTGTCGGAAAGCCTTTGACACAGTACTGCATAAAAGGTTGATGCATAAGCTGGAGAAACAGGCAGGAGTAACTGGTAGGGCGCTCCAGTGGATAAGGGAGTACCTAAGCAATAGGAAGCAGAGAGTTACAGTGAGGGGTGAGACATCAGAATGGCGTGAAGTCACCAGTGGAGTCCTACAGGGCTCTGTGCTTAGACCTATCCTGTTTCTGATATACGTAAATGATCTCCCAGACGGTATAGACTCATTCCTCTCAATGTTTGCTGACGACGCCAAAATTATGAGAAGGATTAAGACAGAGGAAGACAGCTTGAGGCTTCAAGAAGACCTGGACAAGCTGCAGGAATGGTCGAACAAATGGCTGTTAGAGTTTAACCCAAGCAAATGTAATGTAATGAAGATAGGGGTAGGAAGCAGGAGACCAGATACAAGGTATCATTTGGGAGATGAGATACTTCAAGAGTCAGAGAGAGAGAAAGACTTGGGGGTTGATATCACGCCAGACCTGTCCCCTGAAGCTCATATCAAGAGGATAACATCAGCAGCATATGCCAGGTTGGCTAACATAAGAACGGCCTTTAGAAACTTGTGTAAGGAATCTTTCAGAACATTATATACCACATATGTCAGACCAATCCTGGAGTATGCGGCTCCAGCATGGAGTCCATATCTAGTCAAGCATAAGACTAAACTGGAAAAGGTTCAAAGGTTTGCAACCAGACTAGTACCCGAGCTGAGAGGTATGAGCTACGAGGAGAGACTATGGGAATTAAACCTCACTTCGTTGGAAGACAGAAGAGTTAGGGGGGACATGATCAACTTATTCAAGATTCTCAAGGGAATCGACGAGATTGATAAAGACGGGCTATTTAACACAAGGGGAACACGCACTAGGGGACACAGGTGGAAATTGAGTGCCCAAATAAGCCACAGAGATATTAGAAAGAACTTTTTTAGTGTCAGAGTGGTTGACAAATGGAATGCATTAGGAAGTAATGTGGTGGAGGCTGACTCCATACACAGTTTCAAGTGTAGATATGATAGAGCCCAATAGGCTCAGGAACCTGTACACCTGTTGATTGACGGTTGAGAGGCGGGACCAAAGAGCCAGAGCTCAACCCCCGCAAGCACAACTAGGTGAGTACAACTAGGTGAGTAAAACTTCTCTTGTCCCATACTCTGAGAGATTTTTTTTAATTTATTCACTCCCACACTTTGGGTCACAACAATGGCCTTCTTAAAAATAAATCATGCTCTACAAACCTGCTTAAATTTTTGGAAACGGTAACTAGCTATTCAAACAAGGACTTCCGATACATGGACTTTCTTAAAACTTTTGACAAGGTTCCATATGAAAGACTGACAAGGAAAGTACGAGCACATGGAATATGGTAGATTACTAGAATGGACAAACCTATGGTTAAAACAAAGGGTCGTCCTAAACGGAAATGAATCTGACAGGACAAATGCAATGAGTGGAGTACCACTAGGTTCCATTTTGGGGCCAACTTTTTTGTCATATACATCCATATCATAGAATAGAATATTCCAAACCATATTATCAAAACTGCAGATAACATAGTGAGAATGATATTAAGGCCATACAAAGCTAGCTCTCGTCTGTCATGTTAGGGACTCTGGTCATCCAATTGATTGGTCTTCTTCTAAAATAATCTTTCCTGCCTCTACTCTTCACAGACGCCGTCTTGTTGAATCGTCTTTGATACACTACCTACCCAACATGAATATTAGTCCTGGCTTTGTTGCTGTTGACTCTTCCCTTTCACAGTACATTCTTAAATGTTCTAAACTTTATAACTAACGTGACCTAACATAAGCCTAACCATCCTTTTTCACACTTTCTTTTTGTTCTCTTTCTCTTCCTTTCTTTACGTTCCCTTTCTTACTCCTATTATTTTCCCCTTTCACCCTTAATTACACCTATCCCGTCCTTTCCTCTCGCCGTTCCCTTACTTTCTTTTAAGTTTTCCTCCTCCTCCTCACCTCTCTCTTGCCTTACTCTCGTGTCTCATTCATCTCAACACAATCGACTTGATAATGGTCTAGGACGGACCGAAACGTAGTCGTCTATTCATCTTCTAGTGTGTGTCCATTTCATGTGGTCTCCATCTCATGTTGGCCTCCGATTGCATGATAGAGCTGATAAGTTAGCCAAAGAATCTGCCTTTAAAGGAGCCGTTCAGTGTAACCTTGGATTGTCAATGAGCAATCTGAGAGCAGCAGTACACCGAGAACTTCAACAAGATCTTGTAGATCTGAGGCAAAGTGAAATTGACACCAGTAATTCCATCTATCATCATACTATCATGCAAGAGGAGCCACACATCTATGGATCATCCAATAAAATCAGCAGACTTCTAGATGTTACTATTGCTCGGCTTAGACTCGGTTACAAGTATCTCTGGGAATTCTCATTATCTGCTGATAGAGACCTGACCAAATGTAAACTGTGTCAACAAAATTATTCGCACACCCTCCGTCACTATGTGATGGAGTGTGAAAAGATACGTGAATTTAGAGACAATTCTACAACCAATGTTCAGGCGATGTGTAAATATTTCATTCAAAATGATCTGCTACCAGAAATTTTAGCCAAATATCCCCAGTTTGCTAACTGTAGGTAGTAACTGAGTGATTGTAACCTATCCACCGCTGCCTACTGGATGGGGGGCGGTGTGCAGGACAAACATATCAATTGTGACACTAGCTCTCCACATATGTCAGTTGCTTAATTTAGAACCTGTACTTGAGGTCGATCTCGAACCCATTGTTGACGACTTATATTAAAGTTTGTAACTAGCTCATCAAGATTGTAACTTGCTTAGCTAAATGAATTGTGGGGTTCAGTCCCTGAGCCCATTATGTGCTTCTGTGACCCTTTCCACTACCGCCCACAAGATGGATATGTGGTGCATAATAAATGAACTAAACTAAACTAGTGTGTGGTTTGGTCAACATTCTTCAGCCACGTTATTGCATCATCTACAAAGTTATCTACGTTATCCCCACAGTTTCGGAAGATTGGTAGATGCTCTTTAATATAAAAAAATGCAAAGACCTTGCATGTGGGGCATAACATTGCACATCTCAACTACCAAATCAACAATATTACCTTGCAGCAGGTTGACGAAGAAGGACCTTGAAGTCAGAATCACAAATCAGTGAAAGTTGCTCAACAATTGGGAGCTGCAATCAAAGAAGTCATTCATATCCTAGGAACAGTCACACGTAACTTTGATTTCAGGAAAAAAGTAAGTAGTTATTCCACAGTATAAATCACTGATGCTTGTATTATTGTGTAACGAATGGGTTTGTTAAGACTGTTATTATTTGAATAGATGGTATATTTGATCTTAGTGGGCCTTATACTCCTCTAGAGGGCCTTATACTCCTCTAGAGGGCCTTATACTCCTCTAGAGGGCCTTATACTCTCTGGAGGGCGTTATACCCTTATATAGAGAGGGCTGCAGAGATAAAACACTCGCCAGAGGTCAGCAGGAACCAGAGGTCAGCAGGAACCAGAGGTCAGCAGGAACCAGAGGTCAGCAGCAACCAGAGGTCAGCAGGAACCGGAGGTCTGCAGGAACCGGAGGTCTGCAGCAACCAGAGGTCAGCAGGAACCAGAGGTCAGCAGGAACCAGAGGTCTGCAGGAACCGGAGGTCTGCAGCAACCAGAGGTCAGCAGGAACCAGAGGTCTGCAGGAACCGGAGGTCTGCAGCAACCAGAGGTCAGCAGGAACCGGAGGTCTGCAGCAACCAGAGGTCAGCAGGAACCAGAGGTCTGCAGGAACCGGAGGTCTGCAGCAACCAGAGGTCAGCAGGAACCAGAGGTCAGCAGGAACCAGAGGTCTGCAGGAACCAGAGGTCTGCAGCAACCAGAGGTCAGCAGGAACCAGAGATCTGCAGGAACCGGAGGTCTGCAGCAACCAGAGGTCAGCAGGAACCGGAGGTCTGCAGCAACCAGAGGTCAGCAGGAACCAGAGGTCTGCAGGAACCGGAGGTCTGCAGCAACCAGAGGTCAGCAGGAACCGGAGGTCTGCAGCAACCAGAGGTCAGCAGGAACCAGAGGTCTGCAGGAACCGGAGGTCTGCAGCAACCAGAGGTCAGCAGGAACCAGAGGTCTGCAGGAACCGGAGGTCTGCAGCAACCAGAGGTCAGCAGGAACCGGAGGTCTGCAGCAACCAGAGGTCAGCAGGAACCAGAGGTCAGCAGGAACCGGAGGTCTGCAGGAACCGGAGGTCTGCAGGAACCGGAGGTCAGCAGCAACCAGAGGTCTGCATGAACCAGAGGTCTGCAGCAACCAGAGGTCTGCAGCAACCAGAGGTCTGCAGCAACCAGAGGTCTGCATGAACCAGAGGTCTGAGGAACCGGAGGTCTGCAGGAACCGGAGGTCTGAGGAACCGGAGGTCTGCAGGAACCGGAGGTCTGAGGAACCGGAGGTCTGCAGGACCCAGAAGTCTGCAGGACCCAGAGGTCTGCAGGAACCGGAGGTCTGAGGAACCGGAGGTCTGCAGGACCCAGAGGTCTGCAGGAACCGGAGGTCTGAGGAACCGGAGGTCTGCAGGACCCAGAGGTCTGCAGGACCCAGAGGTTTGCAGGACCCAGCGAGCTTAGATGAAACAGAAGAGAGGAGAGGAACGAATGGTATATTAAACCGAGGGGCAGTGGTAATCCACCCCCCCCCCCCCCCGGCGATTCACGAGCGCTCTGGTCTGGCCACAGAGTATCCCAGCCATCTCTGGGGCACCCAGCATCTTGCCACAGGGTATCCCAGCCATCTCTGGGGCACCCAGCATCTCGCCACAGGGTATCCCAGCCATCTCTGGGACACCCAACATCTTGCCACAGAGTATCCCAGCCGTCTCTGGGGCACCCAGCATCTTGCCACAGGGTATCCCAGCCATCTCTGGGACACCCAGCATCTTGCCACAGGGTATCCCAGCCATCTCTGGGGCACCCAGCATCTTGCCACAGGGTATCCCAGCCATCTCGGGGACACCCAGCCACAGGGTATCCCAGCCATCTCTGGGACACCCAGCATCTTGCCACAGAGTATCCCAGCCATCTCTGGAACACCCAGCATCTTGCCACAGAGTATCCCAGCGGTCTCTGGGGCACCCAGCATCTTGCCACAGAGTATCCCAGCCGTCTCTGGGGCACCCAGCATTTTGCCACGGGGTATCCCAGCCGTCTCTGGGGCACCCAGTGTGGGATATTTGGGTTTGATTCTGATTAATTAATAATTAAAGTAGTAAATTAAATTACGAAGGACCACCCGCTTTTAAAGTAAAGTGGGAAACTGAGAATTTCAGATCATTAGATAAAATTCTAGAGAAAACCAGTGACTATGGATATGACTAGAAGGTATGATCATAAGAATAATTAATGGGCTGTATTATTAAAACCAAACCTCAAACACCTACATTGGGGGGTTATTACTGGAGGTCAGTACGTCCAGGAATCAGTGTGGTTCGTTCACTAATTCTATTAATAATAATCTAATCCTATAATTAATGTTGAATATAATATTATTCATACAAAGAAGAACATGAATATGAGCATAATAATGAGTTACAGTAAATCACACATTATGTTGTACATTCTGAATGTATCAAATTGCAAAGTTATGAATAAAAAGAAATAAGCCTTAGCTGATAATAGATTCCTTTAGATAACCCTGGCAGTCCTCTTAATCTCCAAGTCTGGTACACCGACGAATGACACGGTTAACATGGAGAAGACAGCATGAGGAATTCGTCTCTCGAGCTGCAAGATAAATGACTACCAGTAGCAATTGATTTAACTACTCAATACATATTCAAGATTATTGATATCTTCAGATAGAATTCTAATCACCTGTTATTAGGTGTTGTCTTGCCGCGTGACGTGCAATCACCCTGCCATTAACACTTATAAATGATGCATCAAATAAAAGTACTTAACTGTGGGCACTGTGTAAGTATTAAGATTGCCGTAATTACGTATCCCAAATTCAGGTGAGCTTATCCTGGATTTGTACGTCTCAAGTTGGCTGATCACGTGTCGTCAGGAACCAAGTCTAGGGGTCCCTTATTTAACACCAGCACTAGTTGAAGATATTATCTGCAAGGTCGTTCACGCCTCACAGTGGCGGCTTTCATCTGTGGATAGACACACGTGTCCTATTTGCTGGACAATGGCGTCTTTTGTGAGTACGGTAAGCGTGGCTTTGCCTCCTACTGGCCTTGCACGTGTCCGCTTCCCAACACCGTCACCGACTGAGGATGGCGTCGCGTCCCTCCCCCCACGCCGTGTCGACGTTCATTATACAAATTATTGGCATGAACATTAATATTTCTCGCATTCGCGCTTGAAACTCTAAAGACTGGACGGGTTTATTATTTAGAGGAACGAAATATTATTATTTAACTATTTAAGAATAGTAAATATATAGGGGAGAGGAATTAATGTCTCCCCATGGCATTCATTGATGACGTTAACACTATCGCGAGGTAAACGGTATAATTCTAACGCTCTATTCGGCTTTTAGTTAGAAAACAATTCGTCTGCAATCAGTTGTCATACAGAATGCTTTAATTATGGAGAATCGTATTTAATTCTCACACAAATTGTATATAATGTGTTTTACTGTAAAGAAATCTGACGCAATACTGGCGTCAAATGACGTGAGAATTCTAGCCTAATGCACAGATGAATTATTAGTACAGGAGAATTCTACGAGTTGTTAATTTTACTTACTACAATATTAATATGGTTAGTAATAAGTAATGAGAATACAACAATGCTGTATTCGATGTTGGAAATATCCAACACCCAGCATCTTGCCACAGAGTATCCCAGCCGTCTCTGGCGCACCCAACATCTTGCCACAGGGTATCCCAGCCATCTCTGGGACACCCAGCATCTTGCCACAGAGTATCCCAGCCATCTCTGGGGCATCCAGCATCTTGCCACAGGGGTATCCCAGCCATCTCTGGGTCACCCAGCATCTTGCCACAGGGTATCCCAGCCAACTCTGGGACACCCAGCATCTTGCCACAGGGTATCCCAGCCATCTCTGGGACACCCAGCATCTTGCCACAGGGTATCCCAGCCATCTCTGGGACACCCAGCATCTTGCCACAGAGTATCCCAGCCATCTCTGGGACACCCAGCACCTTGCCACAGGGTATCCCAGCCATCTCTGGGACAACCAGCATCTTGCCACAGGGTATCCCAGCCATCTCTGGGACACCAAGCATCTTGCCACAGAGTATCCCAGCCATCTCTGGGACACCCAGCATCTTCCCATAGAGTATCCCAGCCGTCTCTTGGGCACCCAGCATCTTGCCACAGGGTATCCCAGCCATCTCTGGGGCACCCAGCATCTTGCCACAGAGTATCCCAGCCATCTCTGGGACACCCAGCATCTTGCCACAGAGTATCCCAGCCATCTCTGGGACACCCAGCATCTTGCCACAGGGTATCCCAGCCATCTCTGGGGCACCCAGCATCTTGCCACAGAGTATCCCAGCCATCTCTGGGACACCGAGCATCTTGCCATAGAGTATCCCAGCCATCTCTGGGACACCCAGCATCTTGTCACTGGGTATCCCAGCCGTCTCTGGGACACCCAGCATCTTGCCACAGGGTATCCCAGCCATCTCTGGGGCACCCAGCATCTTGCCACAGGGTATCCCAGCCATCTCTGTGACACCCAGCATCTTGCCACAGGGCATCCCAGCCATCTCTGGGACACCCAGCATCTTGCCACAGGGTATCCCAGCCATCTCTGGGGCACCCAGCATCTTGCCATGGAGTATCCCAGCCATCTCTGGGGCACCCAGCATCTTGCCACAGGGTATCCCAGCCATCTTTGGGACACCCAACATCTTGCCACAGAGTATCCCAGCCGTCTCTGGGGCACCCAGCATCTTGCCACAGGGTATCCTAGCCATCTCTGGGGCACCCAGCATCTTGCCACAGGGTATCCCAGCCTTCTCTGGGACACCCAGTTACAGGGTATCCCAGCCATCTCTGGGACACCCAGCATCTTGCCACAGAGTATCCCAGCCATCTCTGGAACACCCAGCATCTTGCCACAGAGTATCCCAGCCATCTCTGGGACACCCAGCATCTTGCCACAGAGTATGCCAGCCGTCTCTGTGGCACCCAGCATCTTGCCACAGGGTATCCCAGCCGTCTCTGGGGCACCCAGCATCTTGCCACAGGGTATACCAGCCATCTCTGGGGCACCCAGCATCTTGCCACAGAGTATGCCAGCCGTCTCTGGCGCACCCAGCATCTTCCCACAGGGTATCCCAGCCGTCTCTGGGGCACCCTGCATCTTGCCACAGGGTATACCAGCCATCTCTGGGGCACCCAGCATCTTGCCACAGAGTATCCCAGCCGTCTCTGGCGCACCCAGCATCTTGCCACAGGGTATCCCAGCCATCTCTGGGACACCCAGCATCTTGCCACAGGGCATCCCAGCCATCTCTGGGACACCCAACATCTTGCCATAGAGTATCCCAGCCATCTCTGGGACACCCAGCATCTTGTCACAGGGTACCCCAGCCGTCTCTGGGACACCCAGCATCTTGCCACAGAGTATCCCAGCCATCTCCGGGACACCCAGCATCTTGCCACAGGGTATCCCAACCATCTCTGAGGCACCCAGCATCTTGCCATAGAGTATCCCAGACATCTCTGGGACACCCAGAATCTTGCCACAGAGTATCCCAGCCATCTCTGGGGCACCCAGCATCTTGCCACAGGGTATCCCAGCCATCTTTGGGACACCCAACATCTTGCCACAGAGTATCCCAGCCGTCTCTGGGGCACCCAGCATCTTGCCACAGGGTATCCTAGCCATCTCTGGGGCACCCAGCATCTTGCCACAGGGTATCCCAGCCTTCTCTGGGACACCCAGTTACAGGGTATCCCAGACATCTCTGGGACACCCAGCATCTTGCCACAGAGTATCCCAGCCAGCTCTGGGACACCCAGCATCTTGCCACAGAGTATGCCAGCCGTCTCTGTGGCACCCAGCATCTTGCCACAGGGTATCCCAGCCGTCTCTGGGGCACCCAGCATCTTGCCACAGGGCATACCAGCCATCTCTGGGGCACCCAGCATCTTGCCACAGAGTATGCCAGCCGTCTCTGGCGCACCCAGCATCTTGCCACAGGGTATCCCAGCCGTCTCTGGGGCACCCAGCATCTTGCCACAGGGTATACCAGCCATCTCTGGGGCACCCAGCATCTTGCCACAGAGTATCCCAGCCGTCTCTGGCGCACCCAGCATCTTGCCACAGGGTATCCCAGCCATCTCTGGGACACCCAGCATCTTGCCACAGAGTATCCCAGCCATCTCTGGGACACCCAGCATCTTGCCACATAGCATCCCAGCCATCTTTGGAACACCCAGCATCTTGCCACAGGGTATCCCAGCCATCTCTGGGGCATCCAGCATCTTGCCACAGGGGTATCCCAGCCATCTCTGGGTCACCCAGCAT